GAATTTAGCAGAGGGTCCTGAAAGCCAATCTAGGTAAGCATGGCTACAATGAATGAATAAGGACAAAACAGGTAGTGCCGGATTTAGGCATAAGCTACTTAAGCTACATTTTAGGGCCTCACAATATGAGGGGCCTCTAAATAAGAAATAAAAACCTGACTCAATATCATGTTTTATAATAATCAGTTGGTAAATAAAGGAGATAAAGGAGATACGGGAAAACGACTCTCTAAATATGGACATTTCTGTTCTATGACAAAAATATACATACATTGGACTATTTTTATCATATGGGGCCTCTTAAGATGGACATAGTTTAGGGCCTCAGCATGTCATAATCTGACACTGAAAATAGGGCACCATACCCTAAACTCTCCAAAATCATGAGTTTTCCCTACCCCAAAACTTGAGATAAACCAATAATGTACTGTAAAGTCTTTTTATTTGCCTTGTACTGTTTGAACCCATAGGGTGTGTTCAGACAAGCATGGATGTGTGGTATGTGGTGCTGCAGACCCACCTGCAGCACCACACACCGCACATGCAGGTGTTCCTTGAGCTGCTGCATTGCAGCACGGGGGGGCGAGGGGTTGGGTTTCTTGACTCCAGGAGACCCCAGGGTCAAAAAACCCACACCAAAAAAAGTGGGGCAGTGCACATGGTGGCAGTGTACACTGCCCAAAACTGGTGCTTGGCTGGCCAGAGTCATGCTCCAGCTGCTGGCCAGGCTCCATGCTGCCGGAGCACTGTGGCTGCTGGTCCCCAAGGGCCCCAAGTCCCCAGGTAAGGCTTCTGGGGCCAGCACAGTTGCTGGCCCTAGCCCCTCCTACCTCACCCGGGGTAGCCTGCTGCATGGCAGAGCACACGTGGCACGGGCATTCCCCAGGGACAAGTAGGAGCAGCTCAAGGTGTGCTGCTGCTACTTGTCCCTGGGGAAACACATGTTCCTGCTCATGGGGACATGCCCATAAGGTTCACTTTTTCTCCACAGCCAGATATACTACAAATAGATTTAAAAATACAATCCAAGAGCCTATGTGGGTGCATCCAGATCAGTGCGCACGTGCAGTTTGCAGCACTGCAGATCCATCTGCGGCACTGCAAATCATACATGCCACACATACAGGCATTTCTCATGTTGCTAATTTGTGGCAGAGATCCTGGTGTCAAAAAACTCATGCTAGAATAAAGCAGGGTGACACACATGGTGATCATGTGTGCCACCCAAAACTGGAGACTGGCCAACCAGAGCCATGTTCTGGCTGCCAGCCAGGCTCTGCATGCAAGGATAGCCACTGCTGAAGCCCTGAGAGGATCCCAGGACCCCAGGTACGGCTGCTGGGAGCAGCCCAGGTGCTGACCCCAGCCTCCTCTACCCAGCCCGAGGCAACTTGCCTTGTGCCAGTGTGCGTGTGCAAGTGCATTCCCCGCGGACAACTAGCAGTGGCAAAAATAGCAGTGCCACTGCTATTTGTCCCCAGGGGATGTGCCCCATGAGTCCAGGAGCTGTGGATTTAAGGAACTAAAATGACAGAAGTTACATGACCAATGGTATCCTGAGATTTGGCCACACATTAAGAATATGTTGCTTTCAAGTTTAACTTTCCATTCTTAAGCAAAGCCTTCTTACTACAAGGCCCATTGCTGCTATCTCTGACACCAAACTGCCCTGATGCATTGACACTTTTCAATTATTTCATTCCCCAGTTTCCCTTAAAATACACCAATACAGCTGTCTACAGCCCAGATAGAATGGGAAAAGAACCCTTTTACAGTCTTTTCTCCATTTTGTCATTTTGTTGCTATATTTCTCTCAGTCTATAATAGAGATATTTCATTAAGCTGACCTTTGAGGCACCAGTACCAATAAGTTTCTGATTCTTATTGTTTCTCTAGCTTTGGTTTATGCTGTTGAAAATTACATGGCCCAAATGTTGAAAATACAAGGATTAAAGATGTTCTTTTTTAAAGAAAAACAGAGGAAGACAAGAAAAGATTCCAAACTCCTCTTTCTCTCATTGGTTGTTTTAACCTTTCCACAGTTTTTGGGTGTCAATATGAATTCCCAAAGGACGTCTCTGTCTTCACTGGGTGATGCTTTGGAGAAATTCCGTTCCAACACAAAGCATTTTAACATAAATATCTACATGGAAAACACACACAAGCTACATTGAAAGCATTGCTTAGGCTCCAGAATTAAGTACTCAATAGTTAATAGATGGTGTGCAACTTTCACTCAGTCTTCCTGTGCCTCTTGGTCTCTCTGACTGGTTTGAAAACATGGGAACAATCCCAAGGCCTGTGGCCAAACTGGAGTTGTTCTAGCTTAAGGAAGGACTGCTGACATGTCTTTTTCTTTGGACTCTCTGGCTATGCCCAAAGGGTATCTGGAGTTCAGGATTAGTGATGCTTCTCAGCCATGCCAACAACTGCTGGGTGCAGCTGAGCAGGCAGTCAGTGACTGCAGGGAGAATGGACTTGTATCTCCTCATGCCCACTGTCTTAACTGCAAGGGCAGTATTTCTCCTCAGTGCAATTGCTATTCATAGATTTCATACATATCATAGACATTCGCAGATGACACTAAGATGTGGGGGGAAGTGGGTACACTAGAAAGAAGGAACAGGCTGCAAGCGGATCTAGACAGGTTACAGGGGTGGGCCGAGAGAACAGGATGGGTTTCAACACTGACAAGTGCAGGGTAATGCACCTGGGGAGGAAGAACCAGCAGCATACCTACAGGCTGGGGAACTCCCTTCTCGCCAGTGTCAAGACAGAAAAGGA